ATAGCGAACTATGATGTGGAATTAATAGGCTGCATTCTCATGAATATTGGTTCACCGTCTACCGTCAGATATATTCTGTTTTCTGCGGTATTGATTTCAGAAGGCAGACAAGAAAGTTGTGTGCTACAACTGCAAATCACAAGAAGCTAATTTGGAATTCCCTGAACAGCTTATATAGAGAGAGATCAACAGTGACATCTTACAGCAGTCATTTCCTTGATAATCTGACAGAAGCAAAGGGGACGGTATTGCAAAGTATTTAAGATATTAGAGATCCCAGTAGGCATCAGTCAGTCAATGGGATTTACATATAACTGGAGGAAAGGAAAAGTGGATGCACTGCTTTTGATTGTTGATGGGCTAATCTGGACTTGAAAATTTAATGTTTAAAGCTGGAATACAGGCAGATAAAAAAGACCAGTTCATGCTGGTATGTGTACATACAAAAATCATTTTCAGTGAACACATACCACATTGCAATAACATACCATTAGTTTTCAGGTATCTCCTAAAGGCAGCCAGAGTGGAATGTAGCCAGACAGATTGAGGTAGAAAGCTCCAAAGGATGGGAGAGGCTCAAGAGAAGTCCTGAGAAGAGCTTGGGAGGAGGAGACTAGAGAGCAGGAGATCTAGGAAGGAGTGGAGGGAACGGTTTGTGTGATATATTTGGAGACAAGATTGGTGATGTAGTTACATAGTTAGTCTGACTGAAAAAAGACAAAAGTCCATCCAGTTCAAGCCATAGAAAAAAAAAAGTTATAATCCTATACCCACAGTTGATCCAGAGGAAGGCAAAAAAACCCCAACAAAGCACGATCCAATTTGCTCCTACTGGAAAAAAATTCCTTCCTGATCCCCCAAGAGGCAATTGGATATTCCCTGGATCAACTTTACCTATAAATATTATATCCAGTTATATTCTGTGTATCTAAGAAACAATCCAGGCCTTTTTTTAAGCAATCCACTGAGCTGGCCAGAACCAACGCTTGAGGGAGTCTTTTCCACATTTTCACAGCTGTCACTGTGAAGAAACCTTTCCGTGTTTGGAGATTACATTTATTTACCTCCAGACGTAAAGAGTGCCCCCTTGTTCTCTGTGATGGCTTCGGGGTGAAGAGCTCTACACCGAGTTCACTATATGAACCACTGATGTATTTATACAGTTGTGTTCAAAATAATAGCAGTCAGACATCACTAACCTGATCAATCACTGTTTTTGGTAGAAATGATATTTCTACATGGCAAATAATTTACTAGCAGGTGTAGTAGAGTAATAGAAATCCAATAGACCCAACAGTCATGACATGCATGCTGCTGATTCTGTGTAATTGAATCACTAACTGAAAGGGGCATGTTCAAAGTAATAGCAGTGTGGAGTTCTGTTAGTGAGGTCATTCATTCTTTGAAAAACAGGTGGCAATTATTGCCCTTATTTAAGGAAGGAAGGCAGCAAATGTTGTACATGCTGGTTACAGTGCATTTCTCTCTGAAATTCTGAGGAAAATGGGTCGTTCCAGACATTGTTCAGAAGAACAGCGTACCTTGATTAAAAAGTTGATTGGAGAGGGGAAAACATATAAAGAAGTGCAGAAAATGATAGGCTGCTCAGCTAAAATAATCGCAAATGCTTTAAAATGGCAACCAAAATCTGAAAGACGTGGAAGACAGCGAAAAACTACCATTCAAATGGATAGAAGAATAGCCAAAATGGCAAGGACTCAGCCAACAATCAGCTCCAGGAAGATCAAAGAAGGTCTAAAGTTACCTGTGAGTACTGTTACAATTAGAAGACGCCTATGTGAAGGCAAGCTATCTGCAAGAAGCCCCCGAAAAGTCCCACTGTTGAAAAAAAGACTTGCTGAAGAGGTTACAATTTGCCAAAGAGCACATTGACTGGCCTAAAGAGAAATGGAGCAACATTTTGTGGACTGATGAAAGTAAGATTGTTCTTTTTGGGTCTAGTGGCCGGCGACAGTTTGTCAGACGACCCCCAAACACTGAATTCAAGCCACAGTACACTGTGAAGACAGCGAAGCATGGCTGTGCAAGCATCATGATATGGGGATGTTTCTCATACTACGGTGTTGGGTCTATTTATCGCATACCAGGGATCATGGATCAGTTTGAATACTTGAAGTCATGCTGCCTTATGCTGAAGAGGAAATGCCTTTGAAATGGGTGTTCCAACAAGACAACGACCCCAAACACACCAGTAAATGTGCAACATCTTGGTTCCAGACCAACAAGATTGACGTTATGGAGTGGCCAGCCCAATCCTCGGATCTTAATCCAATAGAAAACTTGTGGGGTGACATCAAAAATGCAGTTTCTGAGGCAAAACCAAGAAATAGAGAAGAATTGTGGAATGTAGTCCAATCATCCTGGGCTGGAATACCTGTTCACAGGTGCCAGAAGTTGGTTGACTCCATGCAACAAAAATGTACAGCAGTTCTCAGAAACAGTGCTTACACAACTAAATATATTAAGTGATTCAAAGGAAAGCAAAATCTTCAAACATTTTTCAGTTTATATAGTGAATGTTTGAGTTTGTAAAGAAGAATACAGACACTGCTATTTTTTTGAACAGTCTAATATTCACTTTTCTTCAATTTTTTTAGAAGAACAACACAAATTTGATCTATTTTTCTTCATGTTTTGATTTGGAATAGAATGTGTAGTGTTCCCAATGCATTTGTGTATTTGAAAATAAAAGCTATTCGAAGGATTTTGAGCTTTATTCACTTTTTTCAACACACTGCTATTATTTTGAACACAACTGTACATGTTGATCATATCCCCCCTTAATCTCCTCTTCTCAAGAGAGAGTAAATTCAGTTCCTCTAATCTTTCCTCATAGCTCCATGCCTTGTATCAGTTTAATCGCTCTTCTCTGTAGTTTCTCCAGTTCCCCAATGTTCTTTCTGTGAATTGGTGCCCAAAACTGAACTGCATATTTCAGATGAGGTATTACTAATGATTTGTACAGGGGTAATATGATATCTCTCTCTGGAGTCTATACCTCTTTTATTACACGAGAGGATTTTGCTCGCTTTAGAAACCGCAGCTTGGCATTGCTTGCCATTATTAAGCTTGTGATCTACTAGCACTCCCAGATTCTTCTCCACCATTGATTCCCCCAGTTGTACCCCCCCCCCCCCCAGTATGTATGAAGCATGCATATTCTTAGCCCTCAAGTGCATCACCTTACATTTTCAACATTAAACCTTATTTGCCACATAGTTGCCCAATTTAACAGAGCATTGAGGTCGGTTTGTAGCTCGGGACAGAGTTGCAAATGGCTTTGTTTGCTTTTAGCATTTTGAATTTATTCGCTGGACATTTGGAAGCCAGTGGAGGGATTGGCAGAGATGGGTGGCAGACTTAGACTGAGTGGTTGGTAAGGTAGATGAGCCTGACAGCAGCATTCATAAAAGACTTGAAGAGGGGACAACCTATGGGGAGGTAGGCCTATGAGCAGGGAGCTGCAATAGTCAAGGCGAGAGATAACATCGGAGTGAATGAATAGCTTGATTATTTCATTAGTTCAAAAGCAGCACATTTTAGAAATGTTATGGAGGTGAAGTCTACAAGCTTTTGACAGCATGCACCTGTTTTACAGTGAACTTCGGTGTAACATACTACCATGTTGTGGTGTGATTGTGTTGCTAAGAAAGGGCCAAGTCCCGTTTATGGTTCATTGGCAGCCCATTGATATTGAACAAGCACGCTGCATCTCAAACTTCATCATCGAGGTAGCGCAAAGGTGTAAAGCTGGCCTTAGTGTATATATAAAAGCATCTAGTGTAGGTAGCTGACTATAACTTGGTATCAGCTTCCTACAGTGCCCTGTACGGTATAGCTGACTATGAGAGAAGGAGGGTGAGTGCAAGGAGTCGGTTGTGCTGTAGTGCTCATATGCTAATAAGTAGATTGCTGATTTTAGATATTAGAGTGATCTAGAGATGAGCTCCTCAGTCTGCTGCTTTTTTTTCACTGTCCAGTCACACATGGGGGGCAGGGCTTAAACCTAGTTCTGTCATTTAAAGCAAGACTTCACCCAAAAGGGGAAGTTCTGCTTGTTTGCATTCTCTCCCCCTCCACTGCTAAATTTGGCACTTGTTTTGGGGGGAGGGGAGCAGGTATCTGGTTTTGACAGGTACCAGCTCCTACTAGTGGTTAGATCTCCACTGCAATGTTCGGCCCCTCCTCCTTCACCTGCAGCCTTCTGGTATATATCAAAGGTCCCACATAACTGCAGGATCACTTACAAAGTGTAGTGCAGTGCGGCTTGCGCATGCGCAGTGGGATACTTCATTGCCAGTTTCCCTTACCTAAGATGCCAGCGCCTGCACCCCAAGCTTATTGAAGATTCAGCTAAGGTTAGGATATCCCGGATCCATGGACAGGCATGTGTTCTTATATTAAAAGTCAGCAGCTAAAGTATTTGTTGCTGCTGACTTTTAATTTTTTTTTGGGTGGGGGACTGGAGTTCTTCTTTAACTGCAGTAGAGATAAGTCATGTCTCCAGGCTGCTTGTGCTGTTTAGGAGGGTTGTATAAATCTCAGGACTGTATGGATAGAAATACAAATCTTTGGCAGGGGAAATGTGTATGTGTATTTCATTCTTTTGTCTTCAATTCAGTTAGCAATATGCCTGGAATTTAGTGTAAAAATCTGGTAATTTTTTGGGGGGTTCCCTCAGAGCCCTCAGTGTTTTGATCCCTTTTAATGTACTGATTGATCCGTTTATTGTGCAAGTTACTAATATTCTGGGGCCAAAATCAACTTAACTTTATTGCTTAAAGGCTGTTTTGCTAATTCAAATTCAGGATCCTAATTTTATTACTTGCCCACTGGTTGTGCATATGTGGTGTGGTGTGGTCTTCACTTTGTTAGTCCGATTGTTTAGGTGAGACCAAATGTTTCGTAAAGGAGATTAGACACAATGAAGAGCTGTTTTATTTGTATACAGATTCCATTTCCAATTATTTATATGTATCGGGTAGGATAGATGCTGTGTATATAGTAGGTTAACTTCATTTATTTTTTTACGTTTGAAGATTTCGTCATAGTCCGAATTACTGGTACTTGAGAGACTGGACAATACATGGATGGATCAGAAAATGTCTTAAATACGGTGCCCAAGAAAAGGCATTATATACTTTGAAAAACAAGGTAAGGCTTTCCCATACCGTTTCCATACAGCACAAAGTAGTAAAATGTATAGACTGATCTGTAGAAATTCTTAAACTTGCAGATTAGCTTAGTTGACCAATTCTTTAGATCCTACATTTTTAATCCCAATACCTGCCAGAACTTTTTCAATTTTTGGATACAGTAGCGTAGGGATTGAACCCATGTCCATTTTTTTGCTGTGTTCTGTGACCCCACAAAATAATTTGCATTCATTTCTTTTAAGTACAGACGTGATATTAAACGGGGAAAGGCATGAACCTCTGTCAGGTTACTATTATTGCCTATCTTTCTGTCCCAGTGACTCCTGCTACCCTCTCATTTATTGTTATGCTGTCACGCAGAGAGGAAGTAAGATGCAGGCTCCCCAACAGGGTCACAGATGGCAATAAAATCTAAGAGGGTTAGGGCCCTTGCACACTAGAATGCGTTTCCATGCGGCTTCCCGCACCACATTCTAATTGCACTACTTGCAATCAGCTGCGGGTGCCACTGCAGAGTTAACGACAGCCCAAATGCAGGTCACAAACACAGTGCATTAGCCCCCAGTGGATCACATGGTGCAAAAGTCCCATGCAATCCGGTTGCCATTTGTTTAAAAAAATAGTACATGCACTACTTTTGGCGAAGTGCGATTTTAACCCAAAATGAATGGGGTTGATATTGCACTGCACAGAACTGCTTGTGAGCCGTGCAGCGTTCCTGTGCAATTCACATGCAGTACCTAGTGTGAAAGAGCCTTTACTCTGCTGAACCCTATGTAAAAAACAAAAAAATATATTTTTGGCTGGCGTTGTCTATAATGTGTCAGTTTACTGACATCGTCTATCAGTAAGAACTCATGCAGAGAGGATATTTTCCTAACGCTCCTAGAATCCCTTCCTCTTGGCAGCAGTGTGTTGGCAGAAGAAATGCCTGATACTTGTAAATGTGTATAAGGCGTTTAGGCGTGTTTAGCCGCATCAGGCGTTTGTTAGGTAATTGATTTCATTGGCTAGAATAAATAATTTATTAAACACTAAACACGCCTAGCATTAACATGTGTTTTGAGCCGCCAGGCCTTTTTTTTTCTGCCAAACTTGCTGGATGCGCTGGCAGTGGAGTTTTTTTTAACTTTGTGTGCATGGACACATAGGCTAAGGGCCAATTCACATCATTGCATTGATGTGCGTTTTAGCGCAGCTGTAAAATGCAGATCAATGGAAGGACATCTAAAAAAAAGAATTTCCCATGTGTCCTATGCACACCATAGCGCTGCATTGACCTGCGTTGCGCTAAAATGCAACATGTATGCATTTTAGCACAACGCAACAGATTTAAGCAGATGTCAGCTCTTCCTCCTAGATTGCAAGCTCTATCAAGCAGGGCCCTCTGCTTCCTCTTGTACCAAATTGTATCGTAACAGTAATGTCTACCTTCATTTTGTAAAGTGCTACACAAACTGTTGGCGCTATATAAATCCTATATAATAATAACACAATGCACAGGATATCCTGTGAAAATGCAGTATGCTTTAACGCGTGCTAAAATGGATGTCAACGAACGTCAAAATAGATGTCAGTGGATGTCAGCATGCGACTAAAATGGATGGAAATGTACATCCACTTTCCATGCATTTTAGCGCACGTCAGTGTGAATTGGTCCTAACAAGCATGGGAGTTTAGTGTCATGAAATAAGTCAGATGCAGCTATAAGCAGCTTTGAAAAAAACATCCAGTGTGCGTGAGGCTAAATTGTTCATTGGAAGTGTATATGCAATGTAACATTACCTGCAACGGCGCCAATCAGAACCAAGGGATTGAACTGCGTGGATAGAATTCAAACCCAATTCCATTTTTTTTTTTTTTTTTTTTTTTTTTTTTTCTCTGTTGCCAAGCTATTTTTTTTTTTTTTAAAAAAGGCAGCTTTCACTTGAATAATTGTGCTGTCGCTAACATACTCACTCCTTTGCAATCCAGCCCAGTCTTCTTCAGAGTTGAATGACACTCGGCATCATCCAATTCACTTTCTCTGAGCCCAGGGCTTCAAGGACACACACTTGGAGGGCATGACATGGGCTAACAGAAGAATGCTGCAGGGGATAGTGATAATGTTCTCTTCAGCGCTACATACAGACATGCTCTCTGCAGCATTCAGGACCTGCCCACCATCAGAGTAACGCCGGCAATAGATGGTTCGAATCTCAGCTGGTTCATCAGGCACAGCACACAGCATGTCGGATTTTTACTTGCAATTACTGTCAGCGGCTATAGCTACTTGCAATAATCACTGTATTTTCCTGGCAGGGACAGCTCATCGCTCACTTCTGCTGGGAGAACACCATAGCTCCATGGGAGGGATTCCCCCATCAACTCTGACAGTGTGGGAGAATCTAGCAATTTTCTTTCCTGCAACCCATGACTGCAGCAAAGAAAATCACATCATCTATGACCGGCTTTAGGCAGGTCATACATTATTCATTTTTTCATTTAACCAGCGGGTTGAACAGGAACAAGCAAAAAAAAAAAAGACCCGATTCCCCCATCCACACGCTCATTGTGGATGGAGGAATCCTTTTCGCTAAGCTATTGTATTCTGACAGCAGGGAGACTTTCCCATCAACAGAATACACCGATCACTGCTGCTGCCACTCATCTACCATGAAAAAACCCAACAGGCTTTTTGTACAAAGGTTGATCAACAGATCGACTTCTGTTCGACCAGCCTGCCCATACATTGATTGAAATTCGTTCATTCCCTGCTCAGCCAGCTGAATTTTCGATCCATCTATGGCCCCCTTTAGAGGATCCATGATGTCACTTAACTGGACTAAATACCCATGAAAAAGAAATTTATAAATGTGAAAAAAAAGCTAGTGGGGGTTATTCATATATTTTGAAATATTGATCCTTAAATGTCATCAGTAATGCATGAAGCATTCCTCTTTCAGCTGTAAGCCATGTCTCTGAAATGCAGAACAGCTCTTTTCTCCAAAGGTTTTCTGCTACCTGCTCAGCCTTAAATCAATGTGTGAACCTGCCTGTGTATATAGAACTATTACTCTCATTGCAGCATGGCTCTGACATTTTTGTCTGTGGCAATTCTATACCCTATAAATGTGAGGAGAGAGGCTAAAATGGCCTTGTGCCCAAAGCATAAGCAGATATTTGAAGGTTTTATCTGCTTTTTCTTTAGAAGTTTTACTACATTCTGATCAACTGCCGAAATCTACATACTGATTTTTCCATCCACTTATACTGGTTTTTCAATTCCTGTATGTATGCTTCCATATTGCTATTGATCGGCTCTTTTGTGTCATTTACACAGGTGCAGTATGGAATATTCCCAAATGATTTCACGTTTAACTTATTACTTGATACATTCATAAAAAAAGAGAATTTTGAAGGTATGACTTATGTTTTTATCTAAGATTTTCCATTACACTATATGAATTTTAAAATATTGAATACAAAGATGAAAACCGATATCTGCTGTGATTTGAGGGAGAGAAAGTATTGACACTGAAAATTACAGGATGCATAGAAAATAATGAACCAACGAATCCCCGTTTTGGCTAAATTCTTCAAGGTTTACAGTGGTTATAGGGCTTTATGGCTCTTTCACACATGTGTTCAGTCTGGATCTGTCAGTTTTTCAAGAGATCCAGACTTAAAGGGAAAAAAATATAGTGCATACAACTGCTACACAAGTCGTAATTGAATAATATTAAAAATGACCTTTCCTTTGCAATCTTCAGTGCTGTAATTTTTTCTAGAACGCAGTGCAATATGGCAACCTGGAACACCCCTCAGAAATGTAATTTCCTGTTTGTGTGATTGGCTTCCTGATTTTCTCAGAAGTCTGCACTAAGTTACAAGTCAGATTTTTGGCATCCCCATGCGACAAAGATCTCATTTTTGGTGAGATATTAACAAGGGGAAATCATAGGGCCGGTTCACACTATGCCCTTATATGACGCACAGCACGTTCCTGTGCGATTCATATTTTGGGTCTATGCAGTGCGATTTCATGCCCATTCATTTGAATAGGATGAAATTACACTGCACCGCGCTAAAAAGTAGTGCATATCAACCGCATCGCATGGTACTTTGTACCGTGCTTTTTGTGTGTGGGCAGACGCAATGCATTTGGAATCTGCGTTCGAGGTGTCTTTAACGTTAACTGACCCCCACAGCAGATCGCACCGCATTCCAGTGTGAACGAGCCCTTAGTCTAGGTTCACACCTATGCGTTTCTGTTGCAATTTGCAGAAACGTAGTGCAGTCCATTTAATATGATTTCCTATGGGATAGGTTCACATCTCCATGTTTTTACCTGGTGTGTTTTTTCCGAAAGGGTCAGGGACTTTTTTCAACACAAAACGTTGCATTTTTGGTTCAATAGACTTCAATAAAGACGCTGTAGAAATACATGTAGTGCGTTTTTTTAATGTGTTTTTGATGCGTTATGCGTTTTTAATCTGCCCAGCAACAAGTTGGGGGAAAACGCAACACACGCCAAAATTGCATGTGCAAAAATGCAAAACGCACCGCAAAAAGCACTGCAGAAATGGCTCAAGCGCAAACTGCATAAGTATGAACCTAGCCTTAAGGGGATACAGACCTTGCCACTTTCCTCATTAGAGCCCTGCAGGTGCAGCAGCTGATTGATAATTATAAAACCACTTCCATACAGATTCACTCTGCGCATGGACACAAAGAAACAAACAGCTATTTCTTCAGAGTAACAAAAGGAAGGAATTTGCAGCAAAGTTTGTTAAAATTCTTGCAATGGTCACCTAGAGGGGATTGTTTTTTTTCTCAACAAAAGTGGAGTTACTCTTTATTAATCTCTTTAACCACTTGCCGACTGCAGATAGCCAAATGACTGCATCACTGCGGCCGGCCAGTTCTTGGAGGGCGTCATATGACATCCTCCCAGAATGCGCTCTTCTGTGTGCCCCCAGGGGCGCGCACCCAGCGATCTCCTGTCACAGTGTGAGGAAAGTACTGCCGAGAACCGGCAGTTGTCAGAGGAGGGATCACCACTGGGTGCCCTGATGATCGGTGCCCAGCAGTGCCACCCACAAGTGCCCAACAGTGCCACCCACAAGTGCCCACCAGTTCCGCAAGCCAGTGTCCAGCAGTGCCACCAGTCAGTTCCTAGCAGTGCCACCAGTCAGTGCCCATCAGTGCTGCCTATCAGTGCAGCCTCACCAACGCACATCAGTGAAGGAGATAAATTACCTGTTTGCAAAATTTTATAACAGAAACAAAGAAAAACTTTTTTCAAATTTTTTTGCTCTTTTTTTGTTTATAATGCAAAAAATAAAACACCCAGCGGCGAGTACATACCACCAAAAGAAAGCTCTATTTGTGTGAAAAAAATGATAAAAAGTTCATATGGGTACAATGTTGCATGACTGTGCAATTGTCATTCTAAATGCGACAGCGCTGAAAATTGGCCTGGGCAGGAAGGGGGTATAAGTGCCCGGTAAGCAAGTGGTTATTAACATGTCTATGGCGCTTACATCTCAATCACATTTTGTCAACAGAAAAAAAATGAAAAAGGTCTGCATCCTTTTCCGTTTTTTTGGACATAAGCAGATATAAATGGATTCTGTCCATGGATACTCCGTCTGTTCTCTTCATTTCCATTTTTAGCCAAGAAACATGCTTTGATTTATTCACCTGTGACAACTCTACGACTGACAACTCGTGCTCTTTTTTTGTTGATAGCGCAAAAAATAAAACACACAGCTGTGAGTAAATACCACCTAAAGAAAGCTCTATTTGCGAGAAAAAAAATGATAAAAATTTCGTATGAGTACAATGTTGCATGACCGAGCAATTGTCATTCAAAATGTGAGAGCGCTGAAAGCTGAAAATTGGCCTGGTAAGGAAGGGGGTATAAGTGTTCGGTAGGCAAGCGGTTAAACAACTTCAGGGGCCCACATTTTTTTTTTTACTTCAAGGAGTTTACTAGCGCTTTAACATAGCAATTTATTTGTTGAAAATTATTCTGACTATAAGGCCCTGGTGTTTGGCAAAGAATGTTCTGTCATCTGGTGATGCAACGGTGACATATCCATCTTGAGCGATCCAACATGTCAACTGATTGATTACAACCTGATATATCATGGATTGCCAAGATTGTGTGCAAAGGACTGGCCCACTCTTATGTTTATGTATAACTGTCTGTGTCCTCTTTTCTACAGATGCTGTCTCTGTAGTGTTTGAGATCATGCTGCAAGAGAGCTTCGACAATGTCTCCACACAGCTCCTGTCCCTCTATGCCTTACATAAATATCTCTCTGGAAATCCACAGCTGACGGTAAACCTGTTTATAGGCTTTTTTATTAGGTTTTTGACTCGTCGTTTTTATTTTTTGTCATAGAATCTTTATAATTTATGGTGATGTGTAGACGGTGTTGGAAAGAGTCCCCAAAGGGCGTTTGTCTAAGACCCCTCCCCTTGCAACTGCTGGCCAAGTAAAAACACTTATTCACTGTATATCAACTGAGCACTAGATAGAAGTGAGCCTTGTCCAGGTATGTATTATAGTAGTAGGGGGTCCTAACATTTATCATACTCACATCTACTAAATAGGCCACTAAAAAGTCCCAGTGAGCTCTTGTGTAACCGCACAGTCTGCACAAATGCTATTTACTGCCTGGCTGTAACGTAACAGACTGCTTTTAGATGTATGCGGTGTGATCAAGAATTGTAGTCATGAGAATGCTGCACAAGAGGTCGTAGTTTTAGAGACCTCCTTGTTGAGCTAACTAGACAAATTTTAGTAAACGTCAAGTTAGGCACTGTAGGACCTGAACTGTAGTACAGAAGAGCCCAGTGCCCATCAGCATTGGACACCATGGCTTTGTGGGGAGACCCCTGTTTTTGGTGAAATTCCTTCCCCAGCACTTCCCCCTCCAGTGCTAAAGGGCATGTGGTCTTGTATATGGGGCATGGGGAGACTGTACACTTGTACAGTCTCCCCATGCTATGTTGTCGCAGGCTGGTTAGCTCTGGTAGTGAGGGAGGCATGCAATTTTCTTTTCCCTTTTTTTTTTTTTTAACGGTTTAACCCTTTCCTGCCCAGCCATAGCATTTTTTAATAGGGTCTGTAGACCTGGGGGGCAAGAAGAATCGGTGATCATGCGACCACTCTGATTGGCTACCAACCGTCAGTGGGGACTGAGATCTGTCATTGACAGCTCAGTCTCTGCTGAGAGTGTTCAGTGAGTGCTTTCTCAACACAGAAACATCAGACATCCAGTGACGAATGTGTGGGCATAAAAGATCACCCTTAGTCAGTGGGAGGAGGACCTGGGCCTTTTGAGGAAGATTAATGGAAACAGGCCTTGGAACTCGTTCCCACAGTTTTCTTTTCCCTGTCACATCACTTAACGCAGTTGTTCATTCTGCATAGAGTTCATTATACACCGCAGTGTCTCCATACTTGGTGTAGGTCAGAGACGCCTTATTGTCCATGTTGCATGGTGTATGTAAGAACTTTGGTCCATATGCTATGGCGTTGTCCAAAACTCCACCATTATTGGGTGGGTGTATTTCAGACACTTAAAGTGTTACTAAATCCAGCATTCACTATATCCCGTCTCCCACAGTACACAGAAAATGGAAATGCAATTATTTTAGTAAATATAAACTGCTAAATACCTTTTCTCATCAGCAGTATACAGCAGTCTTGTGACTTCTGTCAGTGTTCTGCCAAGCACTGATTAAAGCTTGTAGGAGGAGTTTTCATTCTCCTCTGCATGACCCCTGACCTTCTGTCTGGACAGTTCTGATTGGCCCTGTGCTGATCACATGCACCTCCCCCCCCCCCCCAAAAAAAAAAAAAACCTCTCTAGCAATACACACCAAACTGTGCAGAGTGTCTCCTAGAGCTCTGTACTATCAACAGATGGATTGGGGACAGTAAAAGAAAGGGAGGATCCAGGGGCGGACTGACAACTCATGGGGCCCCCGGGCAATAGGGGATCATGGGGCCCCTGTGTCCTTGCCCACACTCAAAGCACACCCAAAAAAGCCTATAAAAGGTACCAGTGGCATCTCAAGGGGCCCATTACTGACCCCGGGACCTCAGGCAGTGCCCAAGTGCCCGAATGGTCAGTCCGCCCCTGGGGGGAGGATCAGAGAAGACAGGATCAAACAGCCTTTTTACACAATGCAGAGGATTAACCTCTTAGGTTCCACAGTGAGTATAACCAGCATGCTTTACTGTATATACAGATTGATTTTACTGTTGTGGGTTTAGTAACACTTTAACAGTGCATGCTCTATTCAAGTCCCCCTTGATCCTAAATGTGCTCTTTTGGGTATTATCCTGAAAGATGCATTGCCTACAGGATTTAGTTTTTTGTGGACTACAGCTGTGCATCTTGCCCGAAATCTAATTTTGCAGAGATGGATCTCACCTTTCCCCTACAGTCTCTCAGTAGAGAGATATTTAAAACTAGAAGAATTAACTTATAAACATAGAGGTTGCCCCCCAAAAATGACAAAATCTTGGACCCTTGGCTGTCCTCCACTGAGTCCACTTTTACTTCCACAGATGGTTTGGGGGTTTAAGTATGTTCAATATACTCAAGTTCAGGTATATTGCTAATCTGTGATTATGAACATTAATGGGATAATGTCTGAAATCACAGTTTGAGTTATAAGACTTCATGGTGTTTTAATTCATTTATTTAGGTTGATAATCTTTTTTTTCTTTCACCATTTGGTGATGCTTTCTTTTGATGAAATAGTTTGTTCTGTTTTCTTACAGAAAATTTTCAATAAAAACTACTTGATATTAAAGAAAAAAAAAATCATCCTTTTGTCGCTGTTATGCAGACAGCAGTAGCTTAAGGTGAAAAAAAAACAGTTAACAATTCTAGTGCTGAAGCTGTTTATATGTACAATTCCATCACCATGAACAGTCATTTCCTCAAGTTCTCAAGTTTGCCTTCATGCTAAATGTATTCTTCAGTGATACTATACATGTGAGATTTGATAGCTGTTTCACCTGGTGCGCATTCATTGTCTTGTGAATGGGGTAAATGTGACTGTGGAATGCAGGGTGAATCCCACTGAATCTCTTTGGGTTATAATACCTAATACTCATTCACTTGGCAAATCGCCCAGTGAATGACTAAAAATATACCCCTTTGTGTTCTCCAAAACATGTACAAAAAAAAAAGCTTTTTCAACCACTTGCCACCCGCCCACAGGGCATTTAATGTGAGCAGGCAGCAGCTGTAAGCACTGCGATACACTGGTACGTCCTGTAGACATGGCGGATCACGGAACTCGGACCAGTCATATTCAATTGTGACAAATCATAGCGATTACAGGATTACTATGTAAGCAAAACTGCCATGGGTGGCTTCCATTCTTGACAACCTGCTTATTATCATGATGCTCTGATTGGCCCACAGCTGTCACATGGAGCTGGCACCCTGTGCCATTAGCTGCCATTAGTGATTAGCTGCCATGTGCCACGTACCATGTGTTGTGATTCAAAGAAGTTGTGTATGGATACAAATGTAATATTGTTTTCTTCTTTTTTATGTGCATTAGTAAAGCAAAATATGTTATGTACACTGCTGATGACCATCTTTATGTGTATTCATGATTTTCTAAAACTTCCAAAAAAATTGAAAATGAGAAACAATTTATACAATGAGCAAAGCTTAGTAGCCCCCTGCAGTGTCTTCAAATTCACTTTACTGAATATTGCACAGAATAAAAAGAGCGCCAGTGATCAGTTGTTTTTGGTACTGTACCTTGCATTTCAAAGTTTTCTGCAAGCACTGTGTTGGTATGCTATGTTGCTGTGTATTGCAAGTGCTGCGTTTCTGTTATTTTTAATTTCTTTTTTTTTTTTTTTTTACTTTAGTAAGCTTTATTTGTCAAGGAAACATCAACAAATTATTTTGATTCTTGTATTTGTGTCATGCTGTGCGTTACATGCATTTACTTGCATTGTGCTGAAAAAAGTAGGACATGTTCTACTCTTTCAGTGTAGGGCAGCACAGGTCAATGGTTTATATTTAACCAATTGCCGACCACAGATAGCCGAATCACGGCTACACTGTGGCCGGCCAGTTCTGGGGGGGGGGGCGTCATATGACGTCCTCCCAGAACGCACACTCCTGCGCGCCCCCGTCGATCTCTGTGATCATTGTGTTCTATGGACACAGCTGATCACGTGATGTGGTAAAAGACCAATCACAGCGGCCTTTTACCACGTGATCAGTCGTGTCCAATGACACACTGATCACAGGGAAATGCAATTGCCGGTTCTCGGCTGCACTTTCCTCACGCTGTCAGATCGTGAGGAAAGTACTGCCGAGAACCGGCAGTTGTCAGAGCAGGGATTGGCACCGATCATCAGGGCACTGATGATCGGTGCCCAGCGGTGCCACCCAGCAGTGCCCACTTGTGCCCAGCACCCACCTGTGTCCAGCAGTGCAACCACCTGTGCCACCCAGCAGTGCCACACACCTGTGCCCACCAGTGCCATCCAGAAGTGCCACCTATCTGTGCCCAGCAGCGCCACCCACCTGTGCCCACCAGTGCAGCCCAGCAGTGCTGCCAGTCAGTGCCACCAGTCAGTGCCCAGCGGTTGTGCCAGTCAGTGCTCAGCAGTTGCACCAGTCAATGCCTAACAGTGCTGCCAGTCAATACCTTGCAGTGCTGCCAGTCAGTGCCACCTATCAGTGCTGTCTATCAGAACTCATCATCAGTGCCGCCTATCAGTGCGCGTATCCGTGCCACCTCATTAGTGCTGCCTATCAGTGCCCATCAGTGCTGCCTATCAGTGCTGCCTATCAGTGCCCATCAGTGCTGCCTCATCTACGCACATTAGTGAAGGAGAAAAATTACCTGTTTGCAAAATTTTATAATAGAAACAAAGAAACTTTTTTTTTTTCAAAATGTTTGCAATTTTTTTGTTTATAGCGCAAAAAGTAAAACACCCAGCGATGAGTAAATACCACCAAAAGAAAGCTCTATTTGTGAGAAAAAAATTATAACAATTTCACATAGGTACAATCTTGCATAACCGTGTAATTGTCATTCAAAGTGCGACAGCGCTGAAAGCTGAAAATTGGCCAGGTAAGGAAGGGGGTATAAGTGCCTAGTAGGCAAGTGGTTAAATACATTGCTTTTTTACAATGTTTGTGTAATGGCATTCAATGATCAACACATTCCAGCACATCTGGTGTGAATACATCCTTAATAATCCTTCTGAAGCATTTCTGTATTTTTTTTTTTAACCTATAACTGGTAGCCATTTTGTTACTGTATAGGGTGAACAGATCCCGGGGACCAGAATGCCAGTGTGCAGATGACAGTTTCATTTTTGGAACCATTTTTTATTTTCAGTGGAAGTAAATTGTATTGGAGTTAAGCAGAGGTCTTGTATAAAAACCAAAGATATGGACTGCTTCAAATGCAATATAATGTGATTCTCAAAACATTTGATGCCTTCTAGAATGTGCTACTTGGTTACTAAATTCTATTTTAATATGTCCACTGATTTTTTTTTTTTATGTAATGACTTCACTTTGTGTTTTTTTTATGTAGTGGGTGTTAGAGAAGAACCTGGGAGCATCACTGTTGCTGGCAGGCATGCATCAAGAGAACACAGTGGGGTACAGTTCACAGCTATATGGAAACACATTGCTTGGTAAGTTATACACCAATCAGCCAAACCATTTAGATTATTGTCAAGGAAAGTGAAGAACATTAAGCAGTACTAAACCTAGAACCAAAATTGTATTATATTGCAGTTTACCAATCGATAGATGTGGTGGCTGCATTAGTTTTATTTGATATGCTTTTTCCCCTGATTATCTGAGCAGTAGCGCACCTCCTGTATTGGAGTGGATGGATGAGCACAGGGGGCATATTTGGACAGCAGCATTGTCAGTCTGGGGGGAAGGTAGTGTTAGTTGCACAAGCAGTTTTACATGCACTAACAAATTGAAGCCAAACTTCAGCAAATACATTATAAGCAGTTACAGCAAACCACTTTTTTTGAGGATAAAGGTTTTCCATAAATATATAAAAGCTGATCATTGTAAGCACCCTGCCAGTGTTAAATGGTTTGTCTCATTTCTGTAACTGCAAGAGAGCTTGTTCTATTGAAAAACAACAGCCTTATTGACCAGATCACCAGTGCAGCCATCACATCTAAGAATTGATAAGCTGCAAAATAATAAAGGTTTGCTTTTGGGTTTAATACTGCTTTAATTATCTGGTTACAATAACATCTGGATATATTAGGCAGCAAGTAAACATGTTGTCGTTGAAGTTGAAAATAGAAAAAAAAATGGGCATCACAGTTATTGTATATGGAGCTGTGTAACTGCAAACCAGTAAGGGTGCCCATGCTGACCACAGTGTCCACAGCTAAAAGCGGCTACAATGGATGTATGAGCATCAGAACTGGACTAGATCGCAATGGTAGAAGGTGCCCTGGTCTGTAGAATCACATTTTTTTTTACATCATGTGGATTGCTGGGTGCATGTGTGTCACCTACCTGAAGAAGAGATGGCAACAGGATGCTGCATGGGAAGTAAGCCCAAGCCGCTGAGGCAGTGTGATGCTTTGGACAATGTTGTGCTGGAAAGCCTTTAGTCCTGCCATTTATGTGGATGTTACTTTGACATGCACCACCTTCCTAAACATTGACCAAGTACACCCCTGCATGGCGATGGCATTCCCTGATGGCTGCGGCCTCTTTCAGCAGGATAATGTGTCCTGCTACACTGCAAAAATGGGTCAAGAATGGTTTAAGGAACACGACAACGAGTTTGAAGTGCTGAAATGAAGGGCCGTGGATAAGGGGGTACCACCAGTCCTCCTGTATGGGGCCCAGGCAGCTGGGTGAATCAGATGTGGACAGGGAGGGCGATTTGTATGGTGGGAGGGGCAATTACTGGAACCTATCCCCTGTATGGCTTCTTCTTGCAGCAGCTGAAAGCTGTCTTCTTCTCTCTCTTCTGTATGCTTTCAGCTGCTGTAAAGAAAGCCATACATAGGATCAGTTCCAGTAATTTCCCCCCTCCCTGCACCCATTACCCTACCTGTGTACCATACTTTTCACCCTGCTAGTTTTCCCTGTGTGCCCCTACTCCCGCAGTTGTGCCGGATTCTCTCCTTCCCACCAGCAGCTGCAAGCACACAATAGGATCCTTCAGGATGGAGAGTGGGGGGAAGGGTGCGATAAATAAGTCACATTTACCGGCCCCTTCCTTTCCTGAATGAACACAATGAGTGATGGGTACCAATCGCTCACTATGTTCATTCATAAATAAAGCCTAGTAAACTGTTTTTCTTGGGGTGGGGGCCCTTTCAGGTTGGTTTCTAACAGCAGCCCTGCTGACATGTCTCCAAATTCTCCTGATCACAATCCATTGAGCATCTGTGGGATGTGCTGGAGAAACAAGTCTGATCCATGGAGGCCCCACCTCGCAACTTACAGGACTTAAAGGATCTGCTACTGATGGTGTGGTGCCAGATACCACAGCATACCTTCAGGGCTCTAGTGGTGCCCATGCCTCAACAAGTTAGGGTGGTTTTGGCAGCAAAAGGGGCACCTACCCAATATTAGATGGATCATCATAATGTTATGGCTGATCGATGTACCTGCATTGTTCTACTTAATGAGGACAACAGGGCAACTTGAGATTCTTTTTGTAGAGGTAGTAAAGAAAGCATTGCTTCTATAAATGTGCCCATATCAAAGGGGAGACGGACATACAGGTGCAATCTGACTGCCTTCAATCTGCTGCCTGAGGGCCATAGGCTGCCTTTGGGTGGCAGGTTGGGCACCAGAGCTTTAGTCACTATGCAGGTCATACACACACTTTAATTTACAAGGTGTCCTTATGAAGTCAAATTTCAATATTGCTTATAATAACAGTGGCTTCCTTTTTCTTTTTTTTTTTTTACCCTGAACAAAAAATGATAGGTGATCTCAAATGCCCTTGGGCTTATTCAGTAAAGGTGTGTAAAGTGTATTAATCCCTAGCTAGTACAAGGAGCAATAATTACTAGACTTTAGTGCAGTACTGTCCGACTACTTACAGTTGAACTGATCAATATGGGTTATTACCCTTTGCTCAGGGTAGTTTGCATTATTGAAAGTGTTTTTATGTACATGAGACTGTGTGAGCGTTATGGCATGTCAGTTCTGGACTACAGCAAGAATCACATCTCTCTTTGGGAATGGCCTGTCACTTTGAGGACCACAGGGAAATAATAGCCCAGCTTAGTAACATCAGCAAATATAAACCAAGAGTATTTTAGTCCGTACAGGGCTGTGGTATCGACGGGACTTTTCATTCAGCTACTCTTGTGTCACAGCCAAGTCCCTATGTAGGGAAAACAAAGAGCTTAGGCATCTGATGCATTCACATCATATTACATTGACAGTGTCTGAACCCTGTAGCCTATACTGTCAGGTCTTGCTTCCTGCTATCTTGGAAAATCTAATTGAACAGACTTGTCCAGTAGAGGCCTCGGGGCCTAGTCTGCCACATACGGCTAAATATAGTATAACAGATGAGCAGCGTCTGTGAACTCTGCAACTGATCTTTTACCCTCCGTGCCTCGGATGCCATTTTGGAAGTAGGAAGATGCAGCCGTCCCGTCTGTTTTCTGACGGATCTTATTGCACTGCACTGTAGCCTGTTCCCTAGACAGAGGGATTCTGTTGCCGAAGGGAAAAATAATATTTTTGTGGGACAAATGAAGGTGATAATTGCTCTGGAGAGCTGTACTCAGACCGCCTCATAATGAATACTGCAGCAGCTGCTTCTTCTGAAGATAAGATTATCCCCTGCAAGATGTGTATTTATTTTGTATTAAAGCCAATGCTGAAAGTTCATGTTTCTGCTCTCGCTTGGCAGCATATAATTATGCTGGATTTTGTTTGTCTGAAAAAAAAGCCAAATACAGCTCAAATATATAACATTTTAATTAAAAGTGTCTAAAGCTTGGAAAATAGGCCAGGAAACAAATTTTTCTGCTTTTCTACCGGAGCAGGCTTTTCTGTTAAATTAAGGTATTTTATATACAGTACTCAGCTTCAAGTGCTGGAGCTATGAGCTGCTGATCCATAGCCAATTTTAGTTAACGCCGCGTGTTTACAAGTATGTAAAAATCTTATGTCAGACTACTCAGGTTTTCAGAATTGGGACAGTTCTCATTGGATCAGGGAATAATATACTCACTTAATCAAGTGAAAATTCTGTTTTTGCATGTTTCTGAATATGCCAGTGAAGATTTTGACTCTAAACTATGTTTGTCAGCCATTGTTTTCTCTTGTAGCACCCATCATGCCCAGTTGTTGAATACATAGAGGAGGGGGAGATTTACTAAAACTGGAGAGTGCAAAATCTAGTGCAGCTCTGCAGAGAAACCAATCAGCTTCCAGATTATTTTTAGGCCTGCATGTATTCACGCATACAATACAGTCTCAGGCAAACTCCATTCATGTTTATGCTCATATGAGCCATGTAATAAATATGGGGAGCAACTTTTTTTTTTTTCGTAGCAAGTATTTGTAGAAATGTGTCCCTGGCATGGTTTATTGCTCTGCAGCCACCAGCTGTGATACAGGTTTACACTTGGCTTTAGAATGAGGATCGGTGTCTTGGTCCAACTGCGCATAAGAATAAATGGAGCAACCAGCATAGATGACATTGTCCAAAACAATTGAACTAAGATGGTTATGTTTTGGAGATGCAAACAGGAAATAGCTGAGATTTTTTTTTTGTTTTGTAGGGAATATCTAAGAAATAAAATAAAAAGTGGTGACAAATCTTCCAGCTGGCTAAAAACAACATAGTTTTTTTTTTTTCTTGAGTCACTTTTTCATTTTTTTTTCTTTACAGTTTTTTTTTTTTTATGTGTTTTGTTTTTCATCTTTTTTTAATTTTTTTTATTCAGGAGTAGTTGAGCTTTCCCGGGGTCTCCGTGCTGTTTATACACAAATGCCGCTAATCTGGAAACCAGGTTATTTCCACAGAGCTTTGAATGTTATGGAGAAGGTTTCACAGATGCCTGGAGAAATCAAGATAACCAAAGATGTAGTAAGTGTGATTTTTTTTTTTTTTTTTTTCTCCTTACTGGGCATTGACATTTTCTTTATGAAACAATGAAAAAAATGTAATAAAAGCCAGCCAGACCCTGGGGCTAAAATGCACCACCCATTGTTAAAATAATAAGGCCCAAACAAGTCGAAAGGGACGGACTGGCCAGTAATGAAAATTGTCCTAGTTTATCTGAGTAGCATTTAACAAGGTAAAGCGCTACTCCGGGGAAAAAACATTCCAAATAGCATTTATTCGATCTGTAAAAATGATTCATATGCATGGAAATATACATACACCTCCTATATGATCATAACTATAATACAGTTAACTTAAAATCCCGGCTCTCTGCTCAGACCCCAGGGGGAGAACTGAGCGATCACGGTATTTGATTGCTCAGTTCTCCATGTAGAGCTGGCAGGGGACAGATGCTGCATTGGATCAATGCTGCATCCACCTAGCTGAGTATAAATTTTATTTTTTTTCAATACCCCATACTTCTCTTTTAAATCTTGCCCACGTTTCTGGGCACTTCTTCACACACAAGGCTATGTGGTGTTAGATAACCTTTTTATCTGTTTATCTCGGGTGAAGGCTGCTTCTACTGCTCCTACTACTACTGCTGACTAACCTCCTTATGTAGGAGTATGGTGGCAGAGCCGATTTCCTGCGCCTCATCATGTATGTAATATGTGATCAGGCTCCTACAGGAAGGCGGGGGGATGGAGTGAGTAGTCACAGCACAAGCTGATCAGCGCATCATGGCCAATGATTGACAGCCAGGGCCTGCTGATTGGCAAAGAGGAAGACAGGACAGAGCTCTGTGAATGTAAACAACAGATAGTGAGGATGTGCTGGTTTTTGTTTCCCTGCAAAGCAGGGAATTAAAAACCAGCACATCCCTTAGTAAAAACACACAGTGAATGCACCAAGCACTGTTAGGCACACTGTTAACACTTTCATTGCCCTTAAATGTTATTAGTACAGTGTTAATGTATTTATTAGCACTGATCACTGTATTAGTGTCACTGGTTCCCACAAAGTCACTGTCAGATTGCCCGCCATACTATCACAGTCCCGCTACAAGTCGCTGATAACCGCTATTACTAGCATTAAAAAATAAATAAATAAAAATTCCAGTATATACTGTATACCATAGTTTGTAGATGCTATAGCGTTTGTGCAAACCAATCTATATATTTTTATTTGGATTTTTTTTATCAAAAATATATAGCAGAATACAATTTGGCCTAAATTTATGAAGAAAGTTGATTTTTGTTAAATTTTTTATTGGAAATGTTTCATAGCAGAAAGTAAAAAATATTGCTTTTCAAATTTTTTGGTCATCCAGTAGTGATGAAGTACCACCAAAAGAAAGCTCTATTTGTGTGAAAACAATTGTATAAATTTCTTTTGAGTACAGTGTAGCATGACCGCAGAATTGTCCTTTAAAGTAACGCAGTGCCAAGATAAGAAAACATAAAAAAACAGTGGTGTTGCATTTTCAGGCCATCGTTTGTTTTATCAATATTTAACATAAAAAATGTTCTTTCTTAGCACATACTGTTCTTGGTACCTGCTAGTTGCATTGATTGACCAAGTTAGCCTGGCACTGACCAGGTGGCTGGAGCAGAGCAACTCTTTTGGACTAGTGTACTTTGTTCCAAGACAGCCTTGCCTGATTCAAATGCTCTCGGGAAAATTTCCGTTGGAGACTGAAAATTAGAACCACCGTCAAACAGCTTTAGTCAGGTGTTGTTGCCAAATGCTGCCTTGAAATACAGCACTCCTGAAAACCATGCGTTTGGACACAGAACACAGCAAAAGACTGCTTTTTGCTGTGCTTTGCCAGCAATGCAATAGGACCTGCTGAGTCCAAAGCAGCTGGGAATCTGCTGACCAGTGTTTGATGTGCATTTCAAAGCCAAGTCAAATGCAGGAAAGCATGACCTATCATTCTAAGCCCTTGGGTCTCAAAGATCCCTACATTATCAATAGAGACTGCTGATCGTAAAAAAATTCCCCTGTGCATGGCCTGCATTGTAGGCAGACATTGTTTAAGCTATACTGAGATATCTGGCACATAGCACTTAACCACGTGCCGTCCGCCTGCTGTTTATAAACGGCAGGATGGTGGCACACCAGGGGCGGGTTGCCGTTCATAAACGGCACCCGCCATTTCTAGCTGAGCGCGCAGCACCGCGGACCGGTGCCCGCTGTGTCCTCCAGACACAGTGAAACACCGATCGTCAGACAGGACCTCTGTACGAGGTCCCGATCATGTGATCGTCTAAAAGTAGTAAGCAAGATGTCACTTGTGACATCATTGCTTACTACGTGTGAAATCTGTGAATGATCACAGAGGTCACATGGTACAAGGCTATTCACAACAGCCTTGCACAATGTGACAAGCTGTGACCAATCACAGCTCACTCAGTAGTTCTCAATGGCTGCAAGAATGCAGACAGAGAGAAAGAGAAAATGAATGCTTTTACATCCTATATGGGTGTAAAAGCAATCACTGTAAAAAAAAAAAAAAAAAAAAAAAATCTTCATCACCCCCCACAAGTAGTACAGTGTCACCATGCTAGGGTGACAGTATGTAATAACAAAAAAAAAACCCATAAATAATATAAAAAAAATAAAATGAAAATGTAAAAAAAATGTTTAAAAATTATAATTTTTGGTTATAAACTAATTTGGCTTATTTTTTATTTTTTTTTTTACTAAAAAGATAACGGAATACATTGTGGCCAAGATTTATGATGAAAGATTATTTATTTGCAAAATTTTATAAGAAAAACACTTTTTTTCAAAATTTTTGGATTTTCATTTACATAGCAAAAAAAATTAAATTCCCAGAAGTGAATAAATACCACCAAAATAAAGCTTTATCTGTCTCAAAAAAATGATAAAAAATTCATATGGGTTTTGCATGTGTTGCATGACCGCGCAATTGTCATTCAAAGTGTGATAGCGCTGAAAGCTGAAAATTGCCCTGGACAGGAAGGGGGTAAAAGTGTCTGGACAGGAAGTGGTTAAAGCTGATGGTGTAGCAGCAAAATATGCTATACATCTCTGTATTCTTGTATGTGTGTATATTTGAGATCGCATAAGTCTGAGAGGTAACTTATGACCAATCGGTTATTAATACAGTTCTTCACTGGGCAGATATATTTTATTTCTACAAAGTTGCAGATTTCTTTAAAGCCGAAGTTTAGTTTAGGAAAAAAATATCAGAACAAGGGACTTTACTTATTATCAGTGCATTGTGTCCCTTGTGCTGCTGGTTCCTGCTTTAGCTGAAAACTTCCTCCTACAATTAATAGTAGGTACAGTAGGAACCGGTGGGCTTTGTGCACAGGACGATGAGTGCACAGCTTTCCTTGTGAATTTTCAACTAAAGTGCCAGCAGCACAAGGGACACATCACACTGATAGTAATGTCCATTGTGCTGATATTTTTTGTTTTTTTGTCTAAACATTGGCTTTAATAGGGAAGTGTTGTCTGCATCTTTGAACATAAGACTGTCGTTTGAACCAATAGCTCCACCTTCCACAGTTTAACACAGTATATGAACCAGATACACGGAAATGAAAAATGTTCTTTTCTGATCTGTGCTTCTGTTACTTCCTATAGGGTGTACAACCCAAACCTGTCATCTAGCATTGTGCATGCTGTGTCTCATGCCAACGTAATCTTTTAATGCTTGTCTGTCCTCCCCAAGGAGAGCAGGCAGTTTTCAAAGCTGAAATAAAGAAGTGCTAGTGCTTTAGTCCAGTGATCTCCATAAAGAAATGAACTCTTAGCTGCATCTTAGCTGCTTCCAAGCACTCTCTGTAGCTCCAGTTTCCTTTCCTGTTCTTATGAAATCCCTCTGGAAATTCAGTCAAACCCACACTGCCATTAGATTTTCTGTTATGAAGGGTTTAACGCTTTAACTCCCTTAATAGGAGAATACCTGTGGAACGCAAAAGCCAAATTTGGTTCCCTTTTGTGTTTAGATAAAGACAAGGACATATACTGTTTGTGTGTTTGATTTTTGGAAAATGTATTTTTGAGCAGGAAGCTACTTAATTTACTCCCATGCAGGGTAACCTATCAGCACCCTCACCCATGTGGCTTAGTGCTGTACACTTGCTTTGTGTGTTAACTCAGCAGGTTTGTCTCTAGGTCCATAGATCTTCTAGCCTTCACAGTGGGTGTTTTGGTGAATCTGTGAAATCAGCGCAGACTGATCTACACTTATCCTCTTCTGAAACTCCTTCATTGCCTGCTCGGCAGGATGAAGATGGAGGGAGTTTTGATGTTTATTTTTGCACTGTACTGGCCCAGGTGGACCTTGTCAGACTTCTGGTATACTTTCTGTGGGTCCTCCCAGATCGTCTAGATCCCTGGTGCCCAACCTGCGGCCCATTGGCAGTATTTGTGCAGCCCTCGGGACCCCTGCAGACACTAATCTGTGTTTTCCTATTGCCCTGTTATAGTAGTGATTTCTAGCAGTATGTCCCCAGTCCTGACAATCTCTTGTAGTATACCTGCAATCTCTGACCATCTCTTGTATCATGTCTACAGTCCCCGACCATTTCTTGTTATCATGTCTGCACTCTGACCATCTATTAGATTATGTTCACAGCCTTGGACCATCCCTTGTATCATGTCCACAGTCTCTGATTATCTCTTGTATCAGGGCCATTGTCTTTGACAATGTCCCTTGTGTCTGATGTCTAACACCGAATATTCAGTTAATTTTTTGTGCGGCCCTTTGGTGATGTTGGGGGGCCACATTTGAGGCCTCCATATTAAGAAAGCTGACCGCCACTGATCTACATTTTCTTTCCTCTGGTCTTGAGGAATGTTGGTGTGCTAGAGATCCCACCATGATCAGTATGTTATTTCTGTGACTAAATTCTGATGGCAGAGAACATGCTACCTTACTCTAGTTCAGCCTTTCTCAACCTTTCAACACAGAGGAACCTTTGATATAACATTCCAGGCTC